TTAATAATTTTTTTTTTTTTGGTTAAGTAGAAACCAATGAAGAAGGGAGAAACATAAAAGTTTAGTTTTTCTACTTTCTAGTCAAATATATGTAAGAGCTCAAATGTTGGAATGTCTAGATGGTCAGTGCCATGTATCTTCTTACTCCCTGGAGAGGATATATCATTTGGGAGATATTGTTGCTGGCTTGATGACAATGAAGAGAGACAACCGGGAATGCCCATACCATGCCCTGATAGTGAGCATTTTCCCAGACAGTTCTCAGAGGCGTTGTATATTCAAAAGGGAATCCAGACACTGCTCAGTCTTCCTCTGACACAGAGGTTTGAGCATGCCCTGAGGCCGTGCATAGGCCTACCCCCCCACACCACCTTATCTCAGGAGCCAGCATGCTTAGTGAGCTGCCACCCCTAAAGGGTCTGGATTGATCTGCTCTTTTTTGGAATCAAGAAGAATGTTCCAGGCCACTACTGCCTAGCCTGACCCAGGACTCAGATGCTGCATATGTCAGAAGCAAGAAGTTTAAGAAAGGCATTCCATGAATACTGCTTTCTGGAACTAAGATCTACCAAACACAGTGCTATAGACATGTAATGCTAGGCACTTGGGAAGCTGAGGAAGGAGGATCACACATTCAAGTCACATAGCAAGACCGTGTCCCAAAGAAGGAATACTAAGACCCTTGTAGCAGTAGCTGGATCAGTTAGTTTGACAACCCTACTCTTGTCAGAGAGAAGACTGCAAGATGAGAAAAGAGTATGAAGGGTCTTCATCTCTCATAGAAACCGCATGTATGGATAAATCAGGGAAAGTTTTTCATGTATTTAATTATGAACAAAGGAGCCAATAAGTTGAGAAGACTGAAAAGGTGATTCATTAAGCAGGACAAACCCTCAGTTTTCCTCTCGGCTCCTTTCATGACACAGCACTTTCTGATGGTTCTTAAAACATTACTCAGCTGACCACTTCCCAGTATCATAGGTACAGCATATATGTAAGTACTCAAGAGTTCTCTCTTTTGTGCCAGAGGTGGTCTATGACCACAAGGAAATAGAATTTTCCAGATAGTTGGTCAGTTATTTATATGAACTCACAGCAATGGTAACAGGGTGCACACGTCATGCCTAAGCTGACTCCAGGCAATATTCCAGCTTAGACATGGGGAGCTGAGTAAGAAACCTCAGTCCTACCTGAGGAACTATTGGTGACTGATGGCTGCTGGGAGGGGGAGAGTCAGACTCTTTCAAGGATGCGACTCTGAGTAGGTTAACTGAGCCCCAGTGGATGTACCCACACTAAAGGACATTTGTGGACACAAATTAGACGCCCCCCCCAATATATAGATAATGGAGTTCATTAAACTGAGTGACGAGTACTAAGGGGAGGTCTGGATGGGGGAGGAGATCGAAATATGTATTGTATGAAAACATATTATATGAAAATCACAAAAATTCAATTTAAAAATAAAGCTATCTCTTGTGTATATGTATGCATGTGTGTTTGTGTATTATATGTTTGTTGTCTGTGTTTTATATGTGTATTGTATGTGTGTCTGTGCTATATGTGTGTGTTGTGTGTATGTGTCTGGATTTTCATGTGTGTTATCTGACTTCGTATTCTGTGTATATTTTCATTTGTATTGTCTATGTAGTCTCTGTGTATGTTTTATCTGTGCATTTGTGTTTTTTGTTTCTGTGTGTGTGTGTGTGTGTGTGTGTGTGTGTTATTTTAAACCCAAGTGAGAGTGGAGCTCTTTCTACTGTGGAACTCAGAAGCACTTCTTGTTTCTTTAGCAATACTGGGGGCCAAACTTGGAACATAGTATTAAAGGACCCTTAAGAGCAAAGCATTAAGTAGCTGAGTAAAACATCCCCATTCTGCAGGAAAATAGAAAGTGTAAAAGAATAAAATAATGACAAGTGAAAATGTTATTTCATATATTTTCCTTTGACTGTGCTCCTTAGTTGTACAACTCAGCTTGTTAAAGGTGGTTTGCCATTATCAGTCTCTTAGGAATTCATTGTAAAATTTCTCATGAAAATATACACATATTTGTGTAGGTATTTTTACAGAATGCATGCTTGCTAAATACCCAAAGGTAAGTTAGAATTGTCACAATTCTTAGTTATCAAGGTTTTTTATTCTAAATACCCAACCTGTTTGTTTCCTTCCAAAAGTATTTTCTTTCCCTTTGTCATGTTTGTGTAACATTTACCCATTCTTATACATTATTTTAAAGCATAAGTCCCATTAAAGACTGCCTTAGGAAGCCACTGATGGTTGATCTTGAAGAATTGAAAACGTTGTTTGCAGTTAATAATTGATCTAATACAGCAAGTGATTATGAGGTTATTGCCACGGCTTTAAAAACCCCACATCTTACTTAGGACTGTGATTTTTTTTCCAAGTTATCAATTTAAGCAAAATATTCCATTTTCCATTTTTTTTCTTTTAGCCCTCTCAGGATTGCATCAGCCGTGTGCCTCTATATTTAAGGTGTTTTAGAGAAATGCGGTGAAAAAGAATATAATTAAGTGGGGCCTCAGAGGCAGACAGTTGTACTTTTTTTTCCATACTAATTTGCTGTGACATTTTGGACTATTCATGTGTCTTTCCTGGACTTTTAATTCTCCTTTTTAATATGATCACCAAGAACTCATTGGTTTCTGAGTGTCTGGTGATCAGTGCAGTATGCTGTGCAGAGTCTGGATGCTCAGGAGGTGCTGCTTATTCTGAAGACAGGCCCAGATAGAACACTGGAATCTGAATGTAGTTCTGTTGTCGTGATTTCATCACTGAAGATCTTATTGTGCATTTTTCTCATTCTGACTTAAGGGTTGAAGAGAATTCTGTGACAGTTCCTTCTCCTTAACAGCCGATGAGTAGTTTTTACACAGAGCTTGGCCACAGGGGAGTCCTCGTTGCAATACAGCTTAAAAGTTTTAAAGAAATGTTGTTGTTATTCATTTTGCCAAGTTCCCAGAACTCTCACTGAATCGATATGAGATCATTTGTTTTTGGTAATTCTAACGTATAGCCTGCGAGTGGTGGTGTTACTCAGAGTTGTAAGAGTTATAACTCTGAAATGGATGAGAATAAAGCATGTTCAAAGAATTTTACCGTGAAGTGTTTGAGAAGTAGGGAAATCTTATGTGGCATAAGATTTTGAATCTTTCCAATTTTGTGGTTCTTATGCAAATATAATAAGGTACTTTGCTTAATGCAGTGTGGTCTCAGAGCTAATGCCCAGAATCACCTGGGATCTTTAGAAATTCAACTCATTGGGCCCCTCCACAGAGCTGCTCTGGCAGTATAGGATTGCCACTGAGCAGACTGCAAGTCCTCTCAGAGGTCCTGATGAACTCTAAAAGTTTTACAGCCATTTTCATAGAGCATTATGGCATGAATTGGAGGTATTATCTGAAGGTCAGCACATCCAATAGTAAATGGGACTCTCCTTGGCTGCTTGGTAGACTGTGGGGCAACTTAGCCTTGTCTCTTTCTAGCACAGCATGCTTGTTTAGAAAGCCAGTGACGGCACAGTCAGAACCAGATCAACTCAATTCTTTCATTTGATTGCTCTTTCCATTCTTAGACTTTCTTTTTCCCCAAAATACCTAAGTCGACACATTTTGGTACTATCCAAAAGCAGCTTATTTAGTGATTGCAAGTGCTGCCCTATAGCTAAATGTTGGCTAGCTGAAATGCAAGGAGTAGCTACTTACATGTAGAGAACACTTCTAAATGAAACATCAGAAGTGCTTCTTTTATTTTTGAGCTTTATGTGTCTTTGTGGTTTACTTTTTGGGTGTCCTGGAATTCAGTATGTAGACCAGGCTGGCCTCGAACTCACAGAGATCGCCTGCCTCTGATGGGATTAAAGGTGTGCACCACCATGCCCAGCCAGAAGTATATTTTTAAAGGAAGAACAAAAGTATTTTTTAAATGGTAAAAAATTGAAGCTTCTGTTTTCCTTATAAAATTTATTGCAGAACTATTCTAAACATTTTATATTGTGACCATACGGGTCTTGTATGTTTACCTCACATTTTAGAGAATACATACTTTCTTAATACATGTTCATGTTGGCTGAAGATGTTGGAGTCTTTTACTATTCTAAATCTTCTTGTTTCCTGACTGGATTATCTTTGGATTTCAAAGTCATGCTTTCTATTCTAGCTTCCTGCATATACTTACATGCATGATAAAAATTAAACTCCTTCCTGGCTGTGTACCTCACTTAGATGTTTATCACCTTTCTGGTTGTTATCATCCAGTAATGCTATTTTAGATTCCTGTGTTTTTTCTTTGTCAGTTGGTTTTTATTCACCCTACCCTGAGATTCTGATGTGTGTGCCAATGCTCCCCTGCCTTTCTTCCTTGGGGGGCCTTGCTGTCAAGGCCATACTGTTCAAGGTGATTACAGCACTGTCTCCCTTTCCCTTATGCTAATTTCCAGACGTTTGTCTACATGTGTATACATTTTTTTTCTTCCTCTAATTAATTAGAATTTTTTTAAGGTCAGCAATCAAGTCTGATATGATTCAGTATCCCTCGCCCCAAACCCAAGCACACTCCTTGCCCCCTGTTAGTACTTCACCCCTGTAGACTAACTTTTATGCCATTTTGAAATATGGAATCTGGCCCTCTTTCCTGTGAAAGTTAACACTATTGATTAAACCGAGACTAGCTACCTTAGGGGAAATTCCTATACAAAGTAAACAGGTACATATCAAAGGCAATTACAATGGAGTAAAACTCTAGCAAATGTATCTTTTTGATGAGTACTATAAAATTGCATGCCTCTTAACTTCACATATGTTTTTCCTTTCTGCAGGTGATTTTCTCCCACCCCCACCTCCACCTCTAGATGATGCTGGTACCCTTTCACCTGGCTCTGGACACTTCCCTCCTCCACCGCCAATGGATGAAGGTGCTTTCAAAGTGCAGGTAAGAGCTGTGATAGGAGGCAGGCTTAGAAACCATGCTAGGAAGCTTAGGAATTCAGCATTGTTTCCATGATGGATAAACATTTATCCAGTGCCTATACAGAGCTTTTCAATGTACAGGGAGTCAGAGTACTTTAATGTCACACACCCACTTCAAGCTTTTCAGGCTTCTTTTGGCTTATGCTCTGAAGCCCTGGAAAACATTTTACCTACTAACTTCATCTCAAAACTCCCAAAGTTATTTTTAAAATAAGGAATACTGTTTGAAAAGTCAAATTTTTAGATATACTTTGGACACACAGGAAGTTCTTTTTAAACATCTTTTTCTCTATATTGTAAACCTTGTATTCTAAATGAGAAATGGTGATATTTAAAGCTCTGGTTGGTCTCATTGGGCCCTAGCTGGATAGCACCATCTTTTTTGCTAAAGTAAAAGTAAAAATCCACAGGGTTTTCTCTTTTAGGTATTTTCAAAGATGTATATTATTGATACATGTCAATGATATGTACGTATTATTCTCTAGAGCATAAAATACAAAGTAACTCCAGGATAGACTCAGAAATGACAAGAAAAGTACTTTGACCCCCAACTATAAATCATGGCTGGTACCATGATTTAGCCTGCAGGCATGATGTTAGGACCGAAAACCAATAGAGGGACTATTTCATTCTTAGATAGGATGATATTAATATAGATACACTGAAGAGAAAATAGAGACCTTCTGTGGAAACACTGGAAATATTTTGAGATGTATGCTTACATAGAAGCATCAGAAACTTGTGAATTACAGCGCAAAGGAGAGAACTGTGCTCTGAGTTGGTGGTTGTTGGTTGTGTGGTTTATTCTGTTCCTGATTCTGCCTTTGTATGTGTTTGCATTTTCCATAAGAAGTGTGAGGGAGGACAAGCCATAAGATAGGACTGTTTGGGTTCAGTCTGTTGTCGTCTTTCTTCTGAATTTTAGGTTGGGGAGGTAGAGCAGAAATGCTTAATTTGCTCCCCAATTTGCATGTGCTCCTATGTGGACATTTTTGAAGCAGTAGAAATTCTATAGCATAAAAGACAGACACAGTTTGTCTGCTGTAGAACTTACAAATTATTACACCTACGAAGTTTGGAGTCAGAAGGGGTGGAGACTAAGGGAAGTATCTGTGACCTTGGTGAATGTGGCCTCACCAAGAAAGTACCAGTTAACGAAGGCTTGAAGGAAAAAAAGGAGGGGAAAACCAGATGGAAGCTTGAGGAATGTGCCTTCATGGAGTCAAAGCTAATTTAAGAAGTTTTTAGTAGTATTGGTGTGTTGAATCATTAAGTGGCAGCTGTAATCAGGAAGTCGTATTTCAGGTTTGAGTCTAGACTTTTAAACACTAGTAAAAATTTTGTGTTGTGTAGAGATACTGTAAAAAAATCCTGCATTTAACCCCATAAATGAAAAGGGTTTGAGAAGTCCTGTACTTGTATTTCAACTCTTAGTGAACGTCAAAGAATTTACAATAAAGGGAGACACTGGAAATATAAAAAAATTCCTGCACTTCTTTTAGTTTATGATAATAAAATGTATCATCAGATGCAGGAAATGGCAAGAGTTCTATAAAGTTTATTCATTTAATGCAAATTTCTTGGTAAATAACATAATATGATTGTGTTTCCTTATGTTTAGTCATCTTTTAATAAAATATTCCGTTTAGCTTGCTTTTTATATATCTTTGGCTATATTTCATTGGGAGTGGTTCTTTATATGTTGTTTAATGTGAACAATTTATAAAAAAAGAAAAAGAAAAAAGTGATGGGGAGATATGGGAGGTGTTGGAAGGGAGGGAATGGGCATGGATTTGATCAAAACACCTTATATGCATATATGAAATTCTCAATAAAGTTTTTTTAAAAGTTAAAAAAATTCTGTTTTCTCTCCTGAATTGTTACTGAATCTATTTTGCTGCATTTTAAACTTTTACCTCGCTAAAGATTGCTTAGTTGAATGACTTGTGCCTTGTAAAGTAGTTGAACAATGTATTAGTTACTTTTCTGTCTCTGTAATAAAACTCCATGACTAAGGGAACTTTAGAAGGAGGAGTTTATGGCTTATGATTCTAGAGGGATGAGAGGCCATCATGGTGGGGAGGCATGGGGCAGAGGTGGCTGGAACAGAAAGCTGAGGGCTTACATCTCAAGCATGAGCAAGACCAGAGAAAGAGCAAGCTAGAAGTGGGGCAAAGGCTATGCAATCTCAAAACATGCCTGAGTGATGTGCTTTCCCCATCAAGCCACACCTCCTAAAGGTTCCATTACCTGCCCAGACAGCACCAACTGACCAAGTGTTCAAATACTTAGGCCCTGGTCATACAATTCTCAGTCAGAGCATCACAAGACATATCTAATTGAAGGATCTTGTGCAGGATGCGCTGAGTCCTACTTTCCTCTTAATTAAAAAGAAGGTAATCACATGTACTTTTTACAATTACATAATATACAGATGTACCTGAAATTGATAAACTGAGGTAACCATACAAATATTTTGCTATTAGAGTAGATATTTTGTAAAAGTAATAATAGTAGATATTGTGTGCATTTAGTGATAACAATAATACTAAGGTTTTGACTATGGATTGCTTTTTTTTAAAAAAAATCATTCAACCCATGAACAGAGAATTTCTTTGCATTTGTCGGTGCTTGCATTACTTTCTCTGATCAATGTTGCATAGTTTTAATTGTAGACATCTTTTACATTCTTTAAAAACTGTGTTCCTGAATATTTATTTTGTTCTTTTGTATCTGCTCTAAATGGGACTTTTGATTTCTTTTTCTGAGACTTGGCTTTTAACTCATAGAAAATACTTTTGTATGTTGATTTTATATCATGCGACATTGCTGAATTTATTTATTAATTCAATAATGTTTTTGTAGAGCTATTAGGGTTTTCTATGTATGTGATCATATTGTCTGAAAACAGGGAAAATTCAACTTTTTCTCCCCCCCCCCCCCCATAGGGCTTTCATGAAAACCACAAAAAGTCTCTTTCTGTTTGGACTTTGTTCTATAAATGTACTCAAGCCATGGCTTTGTTTTTGAAGAGGAAGGAAATAAACAAAAAGTCTGTTTCCATCTTGGCTTATATTCTCTGTAAAACAGAAGGGAGGAAGAGAAAAAATAAAGTACTATTTGCCAAATGTAAAAGGACAAATCTGGTAGGGAGAGGGTGTTATTTTTGAAGCTCCTTATATGAGATTCTTGGTGACTTAAAAATAATGGCTGTGTCCTTCCCTTGAACAGTCGTGAGTTGAATGTGGTGGTGATTGGTCCTGCTCTATCCATACTTAACTACCTTATAGAGCTGTAACATAGCTGAAGTCATATGATCACTGGAGAAATTTTTGGACTTTTTCCTCTCAGCTCTGGTAAAACCCCATCTTGCCAATTCCAAATTATAGCTGGTAAATGTGTGTTTTTATATAGAAGTCTGTTTATGTTTCCAGCCAGATTTTTAGATCAAGAATGTCTGCTAAGTGTGACTACAAATATTATAAGATATTCAGGACTGAAAGGAAACTTAGAGATGGTTGAATACATCCCTTGTATTTGATGTCCGGATATAGCACTTCCAAGTGCTTGCTGAATGAATGAATTCTCAGCTTCCTTTGGAAATGGGGAAACTGAGGCTCGAATAGGTGTTTGTGGATACAGTAGTTCCGAGAAGTCTTTGCTCCTGGCTTTAGCCTGCTTTGTGCTGTATCTGATGGCCCCTTACTTGTCTTTTCCTTAGTCCTCTGTCAAGCTGTAAGACCCAGATAAGACTCAAGGCTTCTGCTTTATCTGGAAGAGCCAGTCACTGCTGGGGTTTTGCTTGGCTCACTGCATTTTCGATATATAATGTATAAGCTTTTTTCTTTGGAAAAGCAAATAAATGTTTAGTGTGAAGAATTATTCTTGGTTTGAGAATGTACATTTTTATTGGGGAAAGATGAATCGTCAAACAAAAATGAGGGATTTGGTTTGCTTTTCTGCCAGAGTCCATTTAACTTTCATGGCAGAAAAGTTTGGAGTGGCCATTTGTCAGCCACTGTATTTTTTCCTTTGTTCTTCATTCATTCAGTGTCAAGTGCATACATTCAATAACGAGACACATATACCCTACATATTATAGCCTCATCAATCTGGCATCCTGAGTGTCAAACCTTGGGACTGTCACTTAGCTTTGTTCTGATTTGGTGTCACAGTTAGTAATTTCTCTTTCCAGTCAGCCCATCAGCATGTATATAGTATTGCTTAGGATCTTTATAAATGGAAAGAATATCTTTTTTAAAGATTTTTGCTTTTTTATTATTTGAGAATTTTATATGTGCATATATGTTTTAATCAAGATCACCCATATCCATCCCCCTCTAATTATCTCTCCATGACTTATCTTTTCTAATTACATATTTTTGTTTTCTGAACCTACCAAGTCTATTAAGTACTGCCAATATGTGCCTAGGTTTTAAGGCTATCTGTCTATTGGAGCACGAATATCCTTTAGGAGCCATAACCCTTAAGAAAACTGACTTTCCCAGTGCCAGCAGACATCAGTAAGCAATAGCTCCTCAATTGGGAGAACTTTGTGACACCTCCTCATCCATGCTGGGATTCTGTCTTCTTCTTGCACAGGTCTTGTGCTTGCAGCCACAACTGCTCTAAGCCTGTATGTGTGGCTGCTCTGTTGTGTCCAAAAAACAGTTTCACCATAGTTATCTACCGTCTCTTATTTTACAGTCTTTCTGAGATTATTTTGTAGAAGTTCAGATTCTTAAGGGAATTAGAGATCATATGTTTAAGGTCTTTTTATTGTTTAAAACTTTTAATTTAAGAAAAAGTTTATAGATGACTCATAGGTGAGGCAATACTAACGAATAAGCAGTAACATTAGATTTAGCACCCAAAATCAAGTTTAGGGTATGTGTTTGTTCTCTCTCTCTCTCTCTCTCTCTCTCTCTCTCTCTCTCTCTCTCACACACACACACACACACA